CTTCTATAGAGGAAAATGTTGGTAGCTCAGGTGGCGTAGATGGTGGTCGTTGGCTTGTTCGCTGAGCTGGGCAATTTGATTGCAAACGTCTCATCACCAATCGAGGTGATATCATCAGTGCATTATTGTGGAGCGTAGTAGTGCGTAGCGGTGGGTTGGTGGTTGAAAACGATACGATACCTGAGCTACCAACATTTTCCTCTATATAAAAGCGATTGGCATTGTCAGCCTCGTGATCCCCGCTATTTTAATTAATCTGATCAAATATCACCCGCTGTAGGTCATATATAGAATCAGTTTCCTTGTCGCTAGCAATGGGGTATACATCTCCTAACTTCATGGTCCAAATTATTAAATTGATCAAACTATTTGCAAACATCTGGTTCAATGACGCTACATATTCTTAGTGTGGGAAAGTTTAATGCTGCAATAGCATTCTAAAGATACGTGGATGAAAATCCAAGGTACCTTGGTGTAAACCCACGCTTGTACATGAATTGTAGAGCAAAAGGAGTCAAAACCCTAGGCGCTACACACCCGCCTGCATTTCCCAATTTCATATTACGACAGTCTATATATAATACCATAACAAAGTAAAGAGAACAGGTTACACGTACAAACTTGTGAGACGATTTGAGCAGGAAGCTTCATCACCACTTTGCATCCGCGTTTGCTTTTGCATTAACTTTTCTAAAGAAATACGTGACATTCGGGTAAGCTTATAATGACAAAGTGTCTCAGTGCGGTCATGTTATGAGGGGAAACACGTCGGGATCCAACCTGTCCATGTGCCAGACATCGGAAACCAGAAATCTGTGTTGATTTTCCCGATCGTCGTCGAGCGTGGACAACTGCAGCCCGCGACATGCATGGGTGGGTGCTCAGTTGCAGTAAATTACAGAAAGTTATGCGTTTCACAGGGCACGTCCTCAGGTACATAAATGAACCAGTCGGTTACCCAGAGAAACAACCGCGAACTTTTCGATTGTACTACAAAAATTCGTCAATCAGGTTATGCTACAGAATATTACGTGTGATTCGCAACAGGAGGCTAACTAACCTTTTCGTAATTCCGATGCAGCTGTGCCATGGAATGGAATATGTCGGTGGAACGTCGCCGAATCCTGGTTGCAGTAGATAAAATCATGAAAGCACGTGAAAAATATAGTCACTCGAAGGAAGGGACCAGAAATCCGAACTGGTAAAGAAACTAGGTCCACTCATCCAAGAGTAACTACGATGACGACTAGCAATACTAGGGCAGAGAACCGCAGATCAGGTGTAAGCGCCAGTATCGTCAATCGCTAGACCTAAAACATCTCAAACGCAGTTTAAAAATGCCAGTGTACCCGAGGTTGACTGTATCTCCACACTAAATTTGATGTGTAGATTCAGTTCATTCGGATAGTTGCAGCAATCACTAACCTTGTCTTGTTTCATCACGACGAAAGTATCATCTAAATAACGCCAGAATACACTAGGTGGATACGGGGTTGTGTCTAGAGCTTTCTGTTCAAATTCTTCCATAAATCTATTTGTCAAAACTGGGGATATTGGAGGTCCCATTGCTGGACCTTGTTCTTGAGTGCAAACTACGGAGTCGCAAGCGAAAAGGGTGAGATTCAGGCATGCTTTTATGCCTTCCACTATCTGATCCACCGTGAGTTGTGTCCGTTCTGAAAGGGTGGTGTCTGCTAGTAGCAGTCGCTTAGCTAGTTCTAGAGAGTCCCCGTGTGGCACATTTGTATATAACGAATTGAGGTAGGAGGCCTATTTATAGCTCAGTACAGATGTTTGATATTGTGCCCACAAATGCTTCCTCAGGCGACTGGAACAGAGGATTCAAACCGTGAGCAAACACCTTAGACTATCTACGTTATGAGATCGGTTATTCTGTAACAATATTGCAACATCAAACCCCTTCAACGCAAGTTTTCACGTTTCCTCCTATCGCAAGCGAACCGATCTGGCCTCATAACTTCTCGGACATCTGGTCACTTACTATAGAACAATGGGAGACGGAAGAAAAATAGAAGTCATCTTCGAGAAATACACTCATCTGCAAATCAATTTGGTTTTCACGGGAGACTCAATTGAATCTCTCCAGCTGAATGCGCTGATGAGTTATGCTTTCGACGCAAACGAAAACCATGAGGAACAAGTTCTCTTGATTCGAAAACAACGTACCGCCAATACCTTTCAATAATCCTAGCGTCTTACTGACAGCAGTTTCACACGCACTAAGCATTTCCCTTGTCCGAATAATTTCAGAGCGCAGCACTCCTACCATATCTGCTACACTGCATTATCGAGAGACGGCGATGACAGTGACTTGTCATCAACAACTCTATGGACGACCTCGTCACGGCTTGCCAATGAGCTAGTGGGGGGCAACCGATTGGAGAACATAAGACAGCAGAGACTGAAGAGTGGTAGCTCACTTCTCCTCCATTGCCATTGCCTTCAGTCGCGTTTCTTGGGCTTGCTTCTCTTCTTCCGCATAAACCTTGTGCGACTTTACCATTTCTTGGACACAGGCCGCAAGATCACCCTATGGTTCAAGAGGGAAACGGTGTATGAAAACATCGAACGACAACGTACAAAAGAGGGAAGATGCACTCATCAGGACTTACAGCACATGGAAATAATGGACGGGACCTGATAAGCTGGAATTAAACGATAGCGGGGTTCCTATAGTTCTGCAGTTCCGTTACCGAGCGAAGAAACACTGAAGCGGGATTGGCTAAAATATCGCCTGGAGAAAAGAAAATGTCTGTTGATCTTGTGACAACAGTACCAGTTTCGGCGTAAAACAGACAAAATAGTTTACATAGTCCGGTTTACAGTAGGATTTATGAATGCGCAGCGAAGTTCAACTGATGCGCAGTGTGCGAATTCTATCCGAAAAATGAGTTTCAGTGTTTCTTCCGGCTACTGAGATGTGAAGACGCGGTAACTTCCAAGAAGGGTAAATACTCGAATCATGGCTTTCAAAGCATGAGTTGAAGCCAAGTCCAGAAAAAAACAAGATGCATAGTTAGAAATTAGCCGTGGCGAGAAATAAGTAAACATTGGTCTACAAGAGCTCACTCAGACAATTTAACGAATCGCTTACCAAAAAACGTATGTGAACTGAACAACCCCCTGAAATATCGTAAAACATTAAAGATGGCTACCAATAGGCTATCTCTGGACGAAACCCAGCATCACAGTCTACCAGTATTTATCAACTTCAAAGAAAAGAACATGCCTGTTATTGTGCAACTCGGTTGACTTGGGACATTTCGTGTCATTCGCGTATGGCTTCCCTACCGACTTGGTTGAAATATTTAGCAAGTAAAGTGGAGCAAATTTTCTGCCCCAACACCTACCAAGACTCAATTCAAGCGTAGCGCACACTGAATCTAGCCAAACTGTGAAATTATCAAAATTACCCAGCAGCAACAAAATCAGAGTAGCGAACTTTTCTACTAGTGTTGTTGTTATGGAGACGCTTGGGTGTGTAGGTGAACGAGGTACCCATTTCGCTTACTGAGTAACCTATTGGAAACAGTCACTATCGTCTCCATACTAATCGTCGTATATCTGTTTCCTCCGTTGTGCGGAGTTTCGGTTGGGTGACTTATCAAACAGGATGACAAGCGACATATGTTGGGCAATGTGTTGGCAGATATGGTGGATTCATTAATAGTTGGTCAGGTGGGTGTTTGCTGAGCGCGGTAATTGGTTTGCAAACGTTTTGTCACAATTCGACGCTCGGGTAGAACGTTAAGCCCAAACAGATTTGAACTGCTGGTACCAGGAAAATTCAGGGGCTTCTGAAGAAAATTCGAAAGCTATGGAATCACGGCTTTAAAAACGTCAAACTCAGCTAAGTCCGGGAATAGAATGCACTACAATAAATTGCATCAGCTGATGGGTTCCACTACACTTGCAATGGAATCCCAAGTGACATATCCGGGTTTTCTGAACGGACACTAAAACAAATCAGTAAAAATACGGTGTGCAGCTGGTCTGGGCATCTCAATAACTGAACTCTGAAACTCCAGGCCTAACCCACTTCAAAAATCCTCCAGAATCCGTTATTGTGGCGAAGTTCCAAGCAGTACTTTCGACAAGGTAGCTTGCACACACTCAGTCGCTTGACTGCCCAGGATTTTGCTCGACAATGGACAGTGCAGGTGTGTAGGTGGTCTACCGAACTAGACAGTGAAAGAGATACTGTATGAAGTGTTCCGGATCGTACTGCATGGACAGCAGCAATCCAGAATAGCTTAGGAACCGACTCATTTTCATCCAGGATAAAGCCGCCATAAAGTAAAGTATATAGATGACCAATAGATTCATTGAATGTCTTCCGTGCTGTAGAGGCAACTGATTACCTTTCAACAGGCGGGATATTCCCCGCCTTTTTCAGTGCGTAATATCCAAAACAAAACATCAAAAGATAAGTTAGAAGGCCGGGACAGAAAACTTAACAAACTCATCGAGGAGAGAAACTTTCGTTTTATAAGATGTGCACAGATTAAAAGGTTTTTGTGGAATATACTGCAATTCAGTTTGTATCCAAACAGCAATAAGAGGCACAAGGCATGTTTTATCTGAATTATGAAGAAAAAGAAAGTCCACTGACCTGTAATGTTCGAAGCTGTTCGAAAACTCTTTTACCAACTGCTATCCGTTGTAATTTCAAAGGCTTGAGGTCCCTGCATATTCGCTGTTGTGTCTCTGAAGCGCGAAGATGAGACAAAGCCAGGTTGTTCGACTCATCGAGGAGAGCACGCCAGACGCGCCAAATACTCTGTCCATTTGGTCTAGAGAGAGTAGTGTTAACATTGTGAGCTGATCGCAAATACCTACATATCATGGTCCAATGAAATTGCATTGCTGAGCTCCTTTTTTGTCAAGAATCCATTTGTCAACTTCCGAAGGGATTGTCCATACTCCCGTTCGATTGCAGCCCGTTGTTTGCAAAACAGCCTGTACGAAGAGAGCACAATGTTAACTTCCGGTAGCAGGCCAACCACTTGGAAACAGATTATCTTAAGTTCAGCGCTAGTCAAGATTCATGATCCAAGGCCGTTCTCCTACCTAGTTTACGGAAGACCGTTACTATCAAAAAACCAATGAAAAAGGTTTGAATTGAGGATAATAATTCGGTTTTACTTAGGGGAACTACAGTGAGCGCAATTGGTTGACCAACCACAAAAGACAAAAGTGGGTAAATCGGTGGGTTTTCAGAGTTTAATAGCAACTGATACGTCCAAAGCAACTCGGCCACTTCATCGTTGGTCAATGTGTACTGTAATTGATAGTGCAGTATGCTCAAAAGTCTCTATCACCAGTTGCAAGGTCAAAGATGTAGGCATATTTCACGACAACAACAGTGCACAATCAAAAGAGAGCTGGCGGCTCCGTTGACAACACAGTGCTCATCATGGAGGAGAGATTCAGCTCGACTTCCCGCCGTTTGCAAATCGGTGCATTTCGTGACTGCCTCGTCATTAAAGGGAAAAGCTGCCGTTCAGACTCATTTCAATAGAAAACACGCGAAATAATAATAATAATGACAGTAATAATAAATAATCGTTCCGCTGTAGCAACCTTTCGAGGCCTAGCTGCCATGCCAACGGAAGGAGGTAAGAGGGCGGGAATAGTGCCAGGCTGCTCAAGCCTTAGACATGAGCACTCGAGATGCTAAGGATTGGTTCGGTCCATGAGCTGGCGCCTTAACCTCTGGGCTATTTCGCACCCAACGAGCAAAATACCTGTTTGAGGTATGCATAGAAATAGTGTTGATAGATTCAAGTTATCCCAACCCCAGAAAAAAAGTGAACACTTCTGAAATATGGAAAGTCATTTGCGCCGATGGGAGTTCACTACTCTGAAAAAGGTACCCTAGTCAATATTTTCAAGCCCCACAAATCAACCGACGCTTATACTAGGCGTGCAATTATGCGCATTCGACGCCGAATCACTCTGAGCTTTGTTTACGGGTCAACCGTCTTTATTGCCAAATAGAATGGTGAGATATGAATCAGGAGCGTTCCGGCCAACAATAGTTAATGATTTCACTATTTTTCGCTTGTAGCTCAGAGTTTGTTGACAGTGGCTGGGCGGTTCAAAGGAACAGGTCAAAAAATAACTTTTCCTAATATATTCAGTTTACGGTCATCATCATCATCATGGACAGCATGGCATAAGTATTCAACACTGATGCTTCGCTGGCGTACAAGCATGATTTACTTGAAAGTCCCATTGTGAAGAGAAGAATAAAGATGGATGGGTAAGAGACTTAGAGCTAGCTTACTACAATCATTCCGAGGTGTCTACACTCCCAGACGCTCATTCAGGCAATCTGGATAAAAACGGACAAGACGAACGTCATTGACATCGATTAGCAGCCATATTTTGCAGCGTCTCCAACCAGGCGCAGTGGAGATCCCGCGGTCCCCATCCTGGAAGGCGAGTAGCACCGACAGCAGTTTAGTGGTAATCAAGATATTCAAGGGTATGTATGACCCCTGAAATCCAATCCACTTTGTGCAACCTAGATAGCAGCTCGGCTAAGGAGTCATTTGAGGAACACCACACGAGGGAGATCCAATTGTCCCAGATTAGACTAATTTCTAAAGAAGACACGCGAAAAAATAATAATAATAATAATAATAATAATAGTAATAATAAATAATCGTTCCGCTGTAGCACCCTTTCGAGGCCTAGCTGCCATGCCAACGGAAGGAGGTAAGAGGGCGGGAATAGTGCCAGGATGCTCAAGCCTAGACATGAGCACTCGAGATGCTAAGGATTGGTTCGAACTACGGATATTTCGGTCCATGAGCTGGCGCCTTAACCTCTGGGCTATTTCGCACCCAACGAGCAAAATACCTGTTTGAGGTATGCATAGAAATAGTGTTGATAGATTCAAGTTATCCCAACCCCAGAAAAAAAGTGAACACTTCTGAAATATGGAAAGTCATTTGCGCCGATGGGAGTTCACTACTCTGAAAAAGGTACCCTAGTCAATATTTTCAAGCCCCACAAATCAACCGACGCTTATACTAGGCGTGCAATTATGCGCATTCGACGCCGAATCACTCTGAGCTTTGTTTACGGGTCAACCGTCTTTATTGCCAAATAGAATGGTGAGATATGAATCAGGAGCGTCTCGGCCAACAATAGGTAATGATTTCACTATTTTTCGCTTGTAGCTCAGAGTTTGTTGACAGTGGCTGGGCGGTTCAAAGGAACAGGTCAAAAAATAACTTTTCCTAATATATTCAGTTTACGGTCATCATCATCATCATGGACAGCATGGCATAAGTATTCAACACTGATGCTTCGCTGGCGTACAAGCATGATTTACTTGAAAGTCCCATTGTGAAGAGAAGAATAAAGATGGATGGGTAAGAGACTTAGAGCTAGCTTACTACAATCATTCCGAGGTGTCTACACTCCCAGACGCTCATTCAGGCAATCTGGATAAAAACGGACAAGACGAACGTCATTGACATCGATTAGCAGCCATATTTTGCAGCGTCTCCAACCAGGCGCAGTGGAGATCCCGCGGTCCCCATCCTGGAAGGCGAGTAGCACCGACAGCAGTTTAGTGGTATTCAAGATATTCAAGGGTATGTATGACCCCTGAAATCCAATCCACTTTGTGCAACCTAGATAGCAGCTCGGCTAAGGAGTCATTTGAGGAACACCACACGAGGGAGATCCAATTGTCCCAGATTAACAACTTAGCTTGGAAATGACTTTTAGCAAACAAAACAGTTGCACGAAAAAGACCATACAAGTGGGTCGAAGATTAACATAAGTGCATACCGTATGTCATCCAGTAAATCTGTCTCAGATGTGCTTTTATTATGAAGCTTCGTAAAATGCTCGTTATGAATGTTTTTCAGTTGGGTGAGTGGTTTCGGCGCCTGGAAATAAAAAAATAATGTGTGGAATGTCATTGATACATTCAAGTTGTGAGCACCTCCATACTTGACCATTTTTTTCGCTGGTTTGTAATTGGAAAGGGAAAACCTTGAAAACAGTCACTTGGTGAATGTCGAAAACTCGACAGGTTATTTGTCAAAGTAGAGGGTCTCCCAGTGAAACTTCATTGTTTCGGCGCCTGGAAATCATCATTAACAGCGTAACATCGGTGTTCAACACCGATGCTTCACTGACATGTAACCATAATTTATTTGAGCCATACGGTGATTGCAGGAGTAAACGTGGATAGGGCAGAGACCTAGTGCTAGCGCGCCACAATCACTTCGAGGTGTCTACACATACAGGCACTCATTCAGGCAATCTGGATGAAAACTGAAAGCAAAAAACGGCATTAATTCCTTGTCGGCAGTCCTTGAACCTTTTCACAAGAAAGAAAGAAAGCGTTCAGCTGTAGCACCCTTCCGGTGCCTAACTGCCATGCCACCCGAAGGAAGCACGAGGGCTAGGATACTGCCAGGTTGCCCAAGCCTAGACAGGGGAAGTCGAGTGGCGGAGGTCGGATTCGAACCACAAACCTTCCGGTCAGTAAATTCGCGCTCTAACCACTTGGGCCATCTCGCCATCTCGCCTCTTCACAAGCTATCATGCTCACTATGGGGCACCAAGTGGGTAGAAATGTTTCTATAGTACCGATAGGGGGCTGTCGAAGAGTCACCGACAACCACATAAGTGGTGTGGTAAGTCAATAAAATCTTCACATTAAGCTCTCGTAACGAAAAACAAGCAGAAAATGCAATCATTATCTCCAAATATAAAACCGCGTACACGTTGCACAATTCAGTTCGCTGATGATCTGAAAAGATTGAGGTAGATAGCTATACACCTGTTGCTGAATCTAGGAGTGACGGTCGACTTTGGTGGGAAGGATCGTGGGAAGCCACACGTTGAAAGCAGCATCTTGGATATATGCACATCATTAAGTGCGCGACTGTGTCACGCCTGCCAATGTCTCGGAGCCTCTATACAGGTAGACGACAGAAGTGTTAATGCACACCCAAGTCATTACCTGACCTTTTCTGGATCATTTTCACTCTTCGCAAGCCCTACGAAAAGAGTTCTCCGAAGAATCCAGTCGACTGACATACGGAGCACATAACCAGATCAGCGCAACATAAGGAGTGTGATTGGCTCATATATCGTGGGCGAGGTATTTCCTCCGAAAACCATTTGAAATAAGTCAGCGTAACTGATCTCATATTCCCAACGGAATCCCGCAGCGCTCCAAGGCACGGCTGGAGTTGGTTCGAACGCCCTCAGCTCAGATCAATGAACTACCACGGAATAAACTGAAGCAATATGAAATCCATCCTTGACGAAATACCTGATTACCGCCAGCCCGACGGGTGGTACAGAATGAAGGCTGCCCTGGCCATCCGAATAAGAATTAGCAAAAGCGACCAGGGCCTTCCAAAGTATGTAAACGCTCCAAACTTGGAGTTTCTCCCAGAATTGTTGATGGAGCGTTTATTAACTGCATGTCCAGGAGCTGCAAGGTGCACACCAAAGGACGGGATAACTTTGGTAAGTTCATCTAAGGATATTTGCACCTTTTTCTTCTCTTCAAAGACGAGAATGATATCGTCCGCATATTACATGGTACAGACTACAGTCTGACGATACGAAGAACTATTTGTTCACAAACTTCCTGGGCATTCCTCGGTGGGCAAGCGTGTCAAGAACAGACCGGTCAACCGAATGGAATGTACCTTTGGAATCCAGGAATACTAGAATTGTGAGTCGTTTGTACGTATGGCATTGTTCTAGCACCAGACGGAGTGTGAATATTTGGTCAAAGCAAACAGACCGGAATCCCGCTTGTTGCTCTTGAGTCAGTGTTTCACGAGCCACCATGGGGCAATGAAGCACCAGTGACGCCAGGAATCTGGTTGCAGCCGGGGTCAAGCCTATTTCCCTGTGGTAACCACAGGTACTATGAGCCTTTTTTGAAAATGGGCATTATTACTGACTCTCCCTGGTCGTCTGGGAAAGCCTACTTTTTCAAAATACAGACAGACAAATCAGACAAGCAGTGACTGAGGAGTCCATCCCCATTTTCGAACAGTGCGGATAGGAGGTCAAGCGGACCAACGGCTTGGTGGCGCTTGAGAGAACCTATGCAGTCATAAACTTACGATGACCTAAGGCGTTCCACGTTCGCCGCCCAGAGTTATGTGTCAGTTGTGCTCTGCAGATTAGTGGCAGCTGGTGGCCACGGTAAGTTGCTCGAGGTATTCGGCCCAGCGATCTACGCATTCTTCCTTATTCAGAATGGTTACTCCATTCTAATCCTTGATGGTGATTTCCGGTGACCGGTCGCACAGATCAACTGAAATACTGTTCCGGCGTTACCGGCTTTTTGAGACTCTTCCATTTCCTGGGCTCTCCGTGTCCACCAGACTTCAAGGTCGACGCTTACGCTCACTTTCATTTGACGTCTGATAATTCATTGGGTCAGGTTATATTCGGGACTCAAATCGACCACATTGCCATCAGTTACCGATGGCGCGGATCCATAACTGACTGCCGTTCGTTTTGGAACACATTTGTAGACTCTGACCACGCGCTCGTCCGGAGTCGCT